GCACCCGCCTGTGCGGCGAGCGCACATGCGCCCCGGTGACCCACACCCCTGCAGGAGCCTTCCGGTATTTTTGACAGAAGAGCTTGACATCGATTGTGGAGGACGTGCAGAACTGCTTTGTGTAGCATTATCAAGGCGTGAAGTAGGGTGCATCCTGTACAGTAGATCTGCTTCTCTCTGAGCGGCTGCCGAGGCCAGGCGTGGCAGCCGCGGGATGCTGCGTCAAGTGGCGAAGCGTGCGGCCCAGGCAAGGGCGAGGATGCAGCCTTGTGTAGAGGCTGGCATCGACCAGCAGCAGGGAGGGCTCTTGGCTGCTGCTGCTGGTGCTCGCTGGCCCGGCCACATCCAGCAGTGATTTGAGGAAGCCTCCGGCAGTGTTATGCGGCGTCGGGATCCCAGGGCTGAGGCCCTGCTCAGCGTGATCTGGCTCGCAACGTTCGGTGCTCTCTACGCAGGGGGCCGAGCCCTTGCTGCCACAGCAGGCGCGCTCGTTCTTCTCACTCTCTCTGGAGTTCTCGGAGGATGTCAGCGCGTCCAAGGTAGGCCAAATGGCGGCGAGCAGCGGAGTCTCAGCACGTTCGCAGGCGCTGCGCTGCTGCACGGAGCGGGCAGCGCTCACCCGACGCGGACCAAGATGGCATTCTCACAGCAAGAATAGGCATCACAGCAGATCGGTTGCTGTTGCGCGGCCCAGCAATTGAGACGTGCGCGCAGTACCGATGTCGACACAGGCAGCGCACTGCTCCAGCACAGCCCACGCGGCACCCACGGCGCCGCGCCGCGCCGGGCCGCGCCGCGACCCCGCCCCTGTCCGTCCCGCAGCCCAAGGCGGGTGGCGGCGACCTGCTGAAGGCGTGGTCCTCCAAGAAGGCTGAGACCGAAGCTGCCCTGAAGCTGCTGACTACCTACAAGGACCTGGGGGACCTGGCGGGGGAGGTGGGCTTGGGGCTGGGGCACTGTCATGTTGTATCATGAGGGCAGGGGGCAGGGGGTGTGTCGAGAATCCGATGGCCAGTGTGTTGACGGGTCAGAAAGCGGTCGAATAACAAGTGGCCAGCATACCAGCAAGCAGTTGCCTGCGCGGCGTGAGGCTTTGTGCAGCAGCCGGGGCAGTGGTGGCGCCAGCGCACAGGCTGCGCCACAACGAATGCGGCCGGTGGAAAGCGGAGCGCGGCCGGGAGCGCCGGTGCGGCGGTGACGGCGTCCACGAAGGCGTCCGCACACCCCAGCGAATGGCTGTTGGCGGCATTGTAGCGCAGTGGAAAGCCCCAGCGCGCAGGCGCAGGGCGTTGCATGTCCAAAACCCCGGCGACAAAAGGCGCAGTGGGGTGCAGCACCAGAGCACCCGCCCCAGCCGCCTGCTGCTCACTCGACGTGCCGCCCCCGCTGGTTCCCATCTTCTCCCGCGTCCCGCACCCCCCCTCGCCCCCCTGCAGCCCTACATCCAGAACCACAACCCCCGCACCTTTGAGGACCTCTCCAAGCCCATCCCCAACTTCAAGAAGTTCGGCCTCAAGGCCGGGGAGGTGCCGAAGTTCTTTGACGGAGTCCTGCAGGTGGGGGCACGGCCGCCAGGGGGAGTGGGGGTTGCACCTGGAATGGGGGGTGCATCTTGCCAGGAGGGCGGGAGGCAGTGGGGCGTTGGCCTGGGTCGGGTCAGCACAAGGGGAGCGCCGGACGAGGGGGACACGCCTGTGTGCCGTGCGGCCGCCCTCCCGGGTCTCAACACGCGACTTTATCGTCCCTGCTCTGCCGTGCGGCCAGGCGCGCGCCGCGGATGCGGTGGCGGCCAAGGACGCGTGGTGGGCGGAGCGCCGCGCCAACGCGGAGGAGGCCGTCAAGGAGCGCAAGTTCACGGTGAGAGAGGGGGGGGGGGTTTGGGGGGGGGCGCGAGGCTCAAGTTTGGTGGCTCTGGGCGGCATGGTAATGGTGGTCGATGGCGGTGGTGGTGGCGGTTGTGGCAATGGGCGGTGGCGGACGGTGGCCTGTGGTGCTCCGCGCCACGGCCTGCGTGGCACGTGATTCCCCCCCTCCCTTGGTCAACAGCTGCTGCATGTGCCATCTGACCTGGGGGGCCTCCCACACACGGGAGCCCCACAGCAGGCTGCCTGGCCATCCTTTCAGCGCCCCGCCAACCACCAACACAC